CATTTATAATTTTTATAAGTATTATATATAGATATAAGACCAATATAAATATTGGTCTTAATAAATAATCCTTACCATTGAACAATGAATAAAAATTCTAAACCAACAAAGATAATTGCTTTCAAGTCTTACTACGACTCCATTTCCACCACTAATGTTCTAATTTTATATTTTTCTAAGGATTTCAATACTACTTACTATATCTTGTAATTCAAAGCATTCTAAACATATATTTTTATTCTAAAATAATAAGTGAGATAATTTAATAACTCACATCCATTCTTCAAAAAGTAATGGTAATTAGTAATAATCAAATCTTAAATCCAAAGTACTAAATACTCAAGAAATTTTTATTGCATCAAATAATTCTTCTAGTATTGGCATTGGATATCGATTAGATGTAGTCTTATGATTAACTAAATAATAGTTTCCATACATTTGCTTCTTTGTCCAATTGTTAAAAACATCTTTTTTCAAAGGCATGATTGTAACACAAGCATATACACCATTAAAAAGTTCAATCAAGCTTGAAACTAGTAATTCTTAGCTATGATCTTGGATACCAAATTTCTTTAAGGTGCTAAGTCTATAAGGTAGTTGAAAGATTGGGTGAATAGATTTATCTTTATTACCTTATAGTTCTTTAAAATTAAAGGCAAAAAAATTATTATATGGGCAGATTGAAGCTAATATTCTTTGTGCTTTGGCATCAATAAGATGTGGCCCTAATTCCAATGGCCAATCTTAAAACTTTGTGGTCTCTTTCTTTATCAATGAAGCACTACTACATGCCAACATAACCTTTAATTACTAATCTTTTGAAAAAATAACTCTTATGCCTCTAACATCTTTACTTCTTATCAAATGAGGAACTTCATCACTACAATGTTTATAAGAATTAGAAATGTTGGTAGAACATGGAGTATCTTCTATGAATAAATCTTATAAAATAATCTCTTGAGCATTTATTTTTCCTAAGTCTTTAACTAAAATTACAAAGGCACCTTGAACTTATAGTTTATCCATTGTGTGCCTTTGTAAGTAAAGAAATGACTTAGATTCCTCAACTTGAGTAAGTTCAAGATCCATTGTCCACTAACCATTATTTTCTAATATTATAAAATTAAAATGGTTATAAAAATATTTTTGAATAGTAAGGCATATGCCAAAAATCTATATCAAGGTGTTGAGGTCTATAGCTTGGCCTAAGAAAAAATAACATTGTCCTTTAGTAAGATCATAAGTATTTATGGTACTAGTTAAAAAGCCCATAGCATGCTCTTTTTCATTGGCATTAAGTTCTTTATAGGTTTGTAAATTGACATCCCAAATCATATCAGGTCCACATGCTCAAAATGTATAAGATATTAGAAATATTATAAATATAGCAAATATGCCACAAGGTGCTTCCATCTTATTAACCAAGGTAAGAGGAGATTCATCAACCTTAGTAAAAACCAAAGAAATCTAATTATCATCGAAAATATCATCAATATGGCATTCAAAAGATCATTTAATTTTTAAAAAATCTTTTGTAAGGACATGAAATAATGCCAAGTTGATTCAAATCAAACAATGTTGATGGGCATAAGAACCCAAAGCCACTACTAAGATTCTGTGAGTAAGAACCTTATTTGGTTGTAGTGCATAGGTATTTGATTTGTCTTGTGGAGTGGTTCTATTAATAGAAATATTAGTATTTATATTTATTTTATTGTTTACACATTAAACTACACTACTTGAATATATTTTTGAAAATGTACCACCATTGGGTGACATTCAAATCCAAGTATTGGAGAGTAATCAATATATTAACCAATTCCTTTGTTCTCCAATCTTTGTAGATGCATGATGCATAGAGTTTTTTTTTTTTTTTTTTTTTTTTTTTATGACGGAAGTTTTGAATGTATTCTATTTAATTATGCCTAAAATCTCTACACTTTGTGCTTCAAATACTTAGAAAAATATAACTAAATACAAAATATTAAGATAAAAGAAAAGATACTTATAGCTTACATGAGTGACAAGAAATACTCAAAGAGTGTCACATGTATGTAAAAAAATATCAATCCACATATTTAAGAAGATCATCATAGTATAAATATTAAAAAATTAAAAAAAAAACTCTTTTAATTATATTTTTTTATATGATATTATTTTAATTATTTTAATTTACTTATACAATTGTTTATTTTTTAGTATGAATCTTTACACCAAATACATTTTTTTATATTATAGAATTATAAATACAAAATATATATTTTATATAATATATTTAGAATTTGATATAGTAATTTTTCTTATTCTTTTTTATTTATTTATATATATATATATATATATATAGGAATGTTAAAATAATCCATCTATTTATTAAGTTGATTCATCCTATCATAACCATCATAAGAAAAATGGATCATCTTTGAAAACCATCATTACAATCAGTGCCTCTCACCTCCTTCATTTCTAATCCTTGCTCTCTCTATAAAAATTTTATATATTTTTTTAAAGAAGATTTTTAAATTTTTTTTTTAAAAAAAAAAAAAAAAAAAAAAAAAAACATAATAAAGTAGCTTATATATAGAGATGCAATATTCTTAGTGCCAAAATAAAGATTTAAAAATAAATTTTATCTTTTTACTCTAATCAAAAATTGACTCTAAATAAAACTTATTCTTTATATGTGATAAGATTAAGAAAATTCAAAAAATAAAATAAATTGTAATAAAAAAATGGTAAAAAAAAAATAATAAAATAACTTATAAGCAATATAAAAGATGTTGCATATAAGCTACAATTTTCTAATTTATTCTCCTATGAACTTCTAAGGTACAATAACCTATAAAAATAATACATTGGATTTATACAATTATTGGCTATATTTTTTTTTAAATATTATTTTCTAATAATTTTTAATATACCAAGGTCTTTAAATAAAATTCAATTATCTTAAAAACCTTGTAGGGTCTTCAAATGTTTCTCCAAATCTTTATAATAGCTTTTATAAAATAATAATTTATTTTAATAAAACTTCTTAATTTTTTTTTCTATAAATATTAAAGAAATATAAATAAACATTAACTAGACTTTTAATATTTTAAGATACTAATATAAAAATAAAATATTTTATATCATTATAGTAATTTGTTTTAGATATAATGGTAATTTAAGTTAATTTAAATTATTCTTAATTTCACAAATATTAAAAGATTATTGTATATTTTTTCTTTTTTAACTAATAATAATTATATGAAAATTATATCCAAAAATACGAATAGAAAATTTATTTAAAATAATTATTTCAAAAAATAAATAAGAAATATTACATAAAATAAAATACATAAAATACTGTATCAATTACAATAATTATATCTAAGATTAAATAAATTTTTATTTATAATGATTCTTTTACTTGTAAAAATAATTTGACTTTAAGGAAATTTTATTTATTTATAATTATTTACTAAATTAAATAAGTATTTTTAGCAGAAATAATTTTAATTTGAAAAATCATATATACCAAATAAAAATAATGAAGATACATTAACGGAGTCTAAAAATAATTAAAATACAAAAAAAATATTTTATTTATTTATAATGAATTGCAAAATTATCTATTTTGTAGTTTTTTGTATTTTTCATATACAAAAAATACAAAAATGGACTATAAAGACCTTAAAAACTTAGACAAAACTTTAGAATTATGTTCATTGTTAATGTTATCACATGCTTTCACAGTAAGATATGCAAAATTTATTGTAATATATTGTATTTAAAGCTTATACTATACAATCATTTTTATTATTTTATGAATTATATATTCTAAAAATGCAGCAAAAACATGGCAAGAATGAAAATAATTGAATGCATCTAAGCTTTTACTTCTTACTATATATACATGTTTTATATATTTATTAAGATTAGATTTTCAAGTATGTTTATCAGTTTATTAATACTCCAAACCCTTATGCTCCTAATATTTAAAAAAATTCATTATAACTTCATTAGTTGTAGCAATGACACAATTTATTAATTAAACATTTCCTGAACATTAAACTTCCCATTTCAAACCTAACTTTATCAAACCTCACAGCAACATAATTACTTTTCAATATTGTCTTACCTCAACTCCAAGCAAACATGCCTCATGTATCATACTCAAACTGAGGCACATGCAGTTGCACGCTGCTGTTCAAACATGGTATCATGTTTATAATAGTACATTGGTTATATCACAATAAGGAGATCTGCTGATTCTACTACAAGGAACCAAATAGGGCATCACCAGTATGTGAACCAATGAGTCAAGTAACTTCTACATTTGCTTGTCTTGTGAATCGAAGCTTGGAAATCAAGCTGTGAACCCGCGTTCCTGTTGAAGCTACTGAATAAAACTTAGTTGACCAATGCTTTCCCCCACTGCAGTATATGTCTAATTCGTTGTACAAGAGAAGGTTAATCAGGTCTAGAAGCCAGTGGCAATGCATGGAAATCTAAGCTGGGCCATACAACGAAAGTAACTAATACAAGCAACTCCAAAGATCCCAGTTCCCTGAATGGCGTCCTTGTCGTAAAAAAAAACATTGCTAATATTACTCTGGATGGTAGCATCCTTGCATGTTCCTATCATTTACAATTCCTCGTAAATGAAGGTAACATATACAGAGACTTTCCATGGAAGATAACGAAATGATAACAAGTTTCCAGGTTTGACTTGCAAACAAAAATTATTCAATGAACGAGGGCGAATGCCCTTCTAAATGAGCTTCCTGGTAGTGAAGTGTGTGCTGTAAAGCAAGCTTTCGGGGAACAAACTGGCGATTACAGTCACCTGCAATTCGAATCTGAAGGTTCTTGCAAGCCGTTTTCTGGTACCACCTCAAGTGGAGTCCCGGGTCGAACGGTTCGGCAACTTGCGGAAATGGAAACCAAAAAGCACGAAGGCTGCTTCGAACTTGTGACACTGTCGATCCTGCTCAGCTGGTAGCTAGAGTCAAGGGTCGGATCAGCATCGACAGTGATCTAGATCCACAGATGCTGGTTCTGTCCGAGTGCGAGTATGTGGAAGTGAGTAGCTCGCAAGGGAGGGATCTCTCGCTGTTTGCTTAATTGTAGTAGTTAAGAATCCTCAGTTTGTGTGCGTTAATTGTACCTTTTAGTTGGCTAGTTAGTTAGTTAATCAGTCTTTTTCTTTTTCTTTTTCTTTTACTTTTTTCTCTTTTAAATCTTCTCCAAGGAATATTTGCAGATTTTAGTGTTTCACGGAAAAGATCAGATAACTCTAGCAGTATGGGGGAGTAGCGGAGTGCTGCTTGTGGCGTGGGTGTGGGACAATACAAGGTTGAAGGACTTGGGGATTGCAAGACAAGACGCGGAGCGAGATGGAGGAGGGCTTGATATACAGTTTTGTGTCGAGGGGGACGACTGTTCTCGCTGAATACGCGTCGGTGTCCGGAAACTCGAACAGAATTGCGGCGCAGTGTTTGGCAAAGCTGCCTGGAGGCAACAACAAGCACACTTACGTATGCGATCGACACACATTCAATTTCCTTGTTGAGGATGGGTTCACATTTCTAGCGGTGGCTGATGAGGACTTCAGCCGCCAGATTGCGTTCGCCTTCTTAGACCGCGTGAAGAATGATTTCCAGCACCGGTATCAAGGCGGGAGGGCCGATCTCGCGGTCACTTATAGCCTCAATGCGGAGTTCGGGCCGAGGTTGAAGGAGCACATGGACTTTGTTGCCGCCAACCCTGAAGAGATTAAGAAAATGTCGAAAATCAAGTCTCAAGTGGCGGAGGTGAAGGAAATCATGATGGTGAACATCGAGAAGTTGCTTGACCGAAACGAAAGGATCGATCTTCTAGTAGGCAAGACAGATGATCTTCACTCCAATGCGCATGTCTTCGAAAAGCAGGGTAATCAGATTCGACGCAGGGCGTGGTGTGCACACTTCAAACTGAAGCTCCTCGTCTTAGTCCTCATCATCATAGTTGCCTTCATCATCTATCTCTCAATCTGTAGAGATTTCATCTGCCATAACCCTGGTATGCCTGGAACAACTCCTGCTAATGTTCCCCCTGCTGAATAGTAAGACCATATGAAATCGTTTATGCCCAACATCATATGCTGGCATCCTACATTGAGGCCTCACAAACAGATCCAAGATTAGTTTTTCATGTCGAAGGGAGTGGGTTGACTTCTAGGGATCACCCACGGGGCTTGCAGTTTAGATTGATACATGGCAATGGAAGTGTAGTGAGCACCATTGGTAGCCATGACGCATCGTTAATCATCCATGAAAAATTCCATGTTTACTAGTTGGAATCTTCCTGGGTATTCGAGAACTCACCTCGATCTGCCTGGCTAACGGCCACCAATTTCGGTGTGCATGGGTCTGAATCTATCTTTCTTGAGCGTAGGGCTGGAAGAGCCTGCATCCCCACACATTTACAGTAACATACCAATTTCGAAGTCTGAGTGCCTCATGTGGTGGTTGGACCTCTCTTGATCGGAGGTGAAGCATGATGCCTAAATTGCTAGCTTCAGAACTGGTTTGAGTGATCAGTGAGCAATGGTCGTGAGCAGTCTCGTTTCTCTTTCAAATTCTAATGTGTGTCTTGACTACTGACCTCTCTATGTACATCTCTGCAGCAAGACTACGCACAAGGCTCATTGATGTTTCTCAGTTGTCCTATGTCAGTCTGATGGACTATTGTGTGGTCCTGTAGGTCAAAAATTGATTGCAAGTTTCTCCTTTGCGTGATCATGTGCAGACTCGAGTCTTGTCATTACAGATGTGTGTGTGTGTGTGTGTGTGTGTAATGTTCATAATCCTGAATGCAGGGTTTCCATTTGAAACATGTGCTTGTACAATAGTTGGAAATGTTGTGCAACCTCAAGTATAAAGGAGATTCAGCGAAGTGATGCGAAGTGAAGCGGGTTTAGGGTTTAGGGCTCTTTGTGATAATCGCAGAGATGCCAATGGCTTGATCAAAAGAAGGATGATTCAAGTTACGAAATATGTAACATGATTAGTGTTATTCTAATATGTTGTACATTAAAATTATTCTAATCTGTTAATTTAACCCACATGCTAACCCAATCAAGAAAAGAACGAAACTGATAAACTGTGGATTGCAGCAAAATGAAAATAACTAAGAAAATGAAGGAAAATACTCATATGGCGAAGACTTTGCAAACCTATCACTGCACTTAAATTGTGCTGTTTTTTGTAAATCAGTAAATGTCAAAGCAGTTCCCAGTGGAAGAACGCACGCGCACAGCATATAAAGTAACAGTTTCTGTTGGACTGCATTGTTATGGGCTCCGTGGCTTAGTGGCAGCTTGGCAATCCAACAGCACCCTACAAGATTTGGATAAGCTCAAGCCTGGCAGCTGCGGGTCTTTCGTATCCCACCAGCCGCTTGGGTCAGCGAGATCCTTTGTGTGAATCCTCGATCTGGAGGAGGTTCTCAACACATTTTCTAAAAATTTGCCCTCACTAGTCTACCATATCTATCACCAACAATCAATCCTTAAATTGGGCATTTGGGACTGTAAAATGTTGAAGTATATGATCATTCAAATTATACAAATTTTGCATAGATTTTGGATAAATCTGTTAGAGAATATGAGGTATGTATTGCTGTAAGATAGAAGTATATTAATATGAAATACATATTAGCTCATTATCCAACCATCAAGGATCCAAAAGAACTAACTGCTTGAAATGAGCCTTAGGTTTTAGTTCTTATAATATAAGTCTATGATCTTTTGACATAGACTTTTTAGTATGAACATACTAACAAGTAACTTAGCAATCAAGGTTTAATTGAAATGTGAACACTTGTCTTATAAGGTTGCATCATGGTTTAATAAGTTGCAATAATTATACATTGACTACCAATTAATATAGTGGATACAAGTTGTCAATCCATTATACACTTTTAATTGTCTACATGTCATGGACATATATTTACTATAATTGTTACTTAAGTAATATGAATAGGTAGAAGTAGATAAAAGTAGATTAATTTCATAATATCTTCTAGAAAAGCTTCCTAGAAGCTATATAGATGTTGCTTTGACTTTATCTGTGTTTATTCTTGATTCATGGATTAGAAACTTGGTCAACAAATTAACCATGTGCCATACATGTTGGTAGCTTGCGAAACAAGCTAACTATGTGGCGCCCACATAGAAAACTTGCCTTGTAAATTAAGATACGTTTTGTGCAAAGTCAACATATTTTTGGAGTCCTATAGAATGTCACTACATAGCTCTTAGGTAGATAGTATATATAGAAGCAAGAGTAAATCTTTCTTCACTTTGCTCAACTCCTTTCTTGCTTCTAGTCTAATTTCAAGGATCTTTAGTTTTCTTATCTTTTGGCAATAGCCATTTCAATTTCTTTCTTAATATACATATTTAGTTATTTCTATTTTCTCATCTTTCTTTGAGAAAAGTCTCACTTGTTTATTTATTTGTATTAAATTCTTGTCCTTGACAGATTGATAAGAGTTCACTTACAATATCAGAGCTTTGTCTAATCTTAATTAAGAGTGGATTACCCCTTTCTCTTCATAAGACATAAGCATATTAGAAGTTACAGATTACCCTTTTCTAAACTCATATTGTCCTTAGTATTTTCTTTGTTATCAAGTCATCTCTTCTATTTGTCTTGAGCAATACTAGACATCTTTTTTTTCTAAGTGTTATCATGGCAAAACTTGCTGAAATGAAGAATGCAATGGCACAAATGCAAGAGCAATTGACGGAGTTAATACTTGCAATGTATCAACTCAATTTACCATGACAAGGAGCAATAAGATTGACAGGAAGTGAAGATATAGAAATGATTGGAGCTATTTTAACATCTGCTCCAAATCATATCCCTTCTCTTATGGTAGAACATCCTTCCAGTATTAGAGAACCAAGAATTATCCTATCCAAGAAGTTTGATGGCACTAGAACAAAGTTTAAAGGATTTATCAATCAAGTACAACTTGTGATTGAACTTCAACCCCAAAGCTATCTAACTCTCAGATCACAAGTTAGATTCATTCATACGCTTCTTTCATATTCAACATTATCGTAGTTTTTATCTTTTTTTAAACAACGAAATGTAATATTGGATAATATAGAGGCTTTTTTGGTAGAGTTTTGATCCATGTATGGAGAACATGATGCAATTTGTATTGCAACCAATAAGATCTATATTTTATGATAAGACAACCGATTAGTAATGTTGTAAGCTTCATAGTTTCGACAACTTCCAACTGATATCAAGTGGGATGATGCTGCACTTGTCAGCCAATTTTTCTATGGATTACAATATGAGGTAAAAAAATTAATGCTCAACTTACTTGATCCTCAAATATTGAGTCAAGCAATTGATTGTTAAGTGTGACAATCATCTTTTTGAATTTTGATCTGAGAACCATACAAGTGGACCTCGACGTTACTATAATTCAATCACAACACCAATATCTCTTTAGCACATATATTCGGGAGTAGAGGATATGTAAATTAATGCAGTACATTTCAAACCTCTTACTAAGCAAGAAAAGACTCATCATCGTCAAGAAGGATTGTGCTTATATTGTGGAGAACCTAAGCTTATTGCTCATCATTGCCCAAAGAAGCGACGCAACTACAAAATGAGGAGTACGACTATCAAAAAAGATAGTATGTCAAAAAACAAGTTTATTCAGCTACAATAGGGACCATGTGGTTGGAACCTTATACAACACCTAATAAAGGTCCTATTCTCTCCTCAAAACCCTCTCTTTGTTTTACAATAAATATTATTTTAGGACCTAAACATCACAAAGCCTCTGCCTTATTAGATTTAGGAGCCTCGGGATATTTTTTAGATGAAGAATTTGCTAAAAGACATAGCATACTTTTAGTGAAGAAAACTAAACATGTTCATGTAGAAGTCATAGATGGTCATCTGTTGTCTTCAAGAGATATTATTCATGAAACCCTTCTTACAAAAGTAACAACTAATAGTCATAGTAGCTTAGTAATATTTAATATTATTACATCTCCCTCTAATCCAATTATTTTAGATTTATCATGGCTAAAAAAATATAATCCTAAAATAGATTAGACTTCTCGTAGTCTTCACTTTTTTAAAAGTATGACTAAGAGTGTAGTTAATCAAGTAGAAAGTCATAAGTCTAGTACAATTAAATCTGTTTTTGTAGGTGTAAGAGTTTTCTTGCATGCTGCAAAAGAAAGATCACCTTGTGTCATTTATGCAACATATGATTCTACTAGTGGAAAGATTTCAAGTAACATTCCAAGCCAATATCAAAATTTTTAAGATGTATTTGAAAAGAAGAATGTAGATACTCTTTCGAAACATTGTTCCTATGATTACTCAATTGACCTTCAAGAAGGAGCACAACTGCCATTTGGACCAATCTATAGTTTATCACAAAATGAGTTGGTTGAACTCAAGGAGTATATTGAAGAAAATCTGGCCAAAAACTTCATATGCTATTCCAAATCTCCAACAAAAGCTTCAATTTTATTTGTGAAGAAAAAAAATGAATCATTGTAGATGTGTGTCGATTATCAAGGATTCAACAAAATCATCACTAAGAACAGATATTCGCTATCTTTGATATCTAGATTCTTTGATCATTTGAATTAAGCTAAGATCTATACAAAAATAGATTTACAAGGAGCATACAATCTGGTATGCATCAAAGAAGGAGATGAATGGAAGATTGCATTTTGAACAAGGTATGGATATTTTGAATACAACGTCATGTCTTTTGGACTTATAAATGTACTAATAGCATTCCAACATCTAATGAATGATACCTTTCGAGAGTGTTTAGATGATTTTATTGTTTGTTACCTAGACAACATTTTAATCTATTCTAAGGACATTAAAAAACATGAACTTTATGTTCATCATGTGTTACAAAAACTAAGAGATATATGACTCTATGCCAAGATAGAAAAGTGTATATTTCACACTACTCAAGTTGACTTTTTAAGATACATCATTTCAAATGATCGACTTATGATGGATCCTAAGAAAGTTCAAGCTATTATAGGTTGAAAGATCCCAAAAATGGTAAGATATGTCCAATGTTTTTTGGGATTTGCCAACTACTATTGGATCTTCATCAAAGACTTCTCTCAAGTTTTAGTTCCACTTACACGTTTGACTTATAAAGACAAACTTCAATGGAATCAAGAAGCCGAAGTGGCATTTAAAGCTTTAAAGATATCTTTTGTTTTTACACCAATCTTATATCATATTGATTTTTCTAAGCCATTTTTTATAGAAACAAATGCATCAGACTTTGCTTTAGGTGCCGTATTATCGCAAATGGGAATAGATGATAAACTTCATCTAGTAGCTTTTCATTCCAAAAACTTTTCAGCAACTGAGATCAACTACGAGATCCACGATAAAAAAACTTCTTGCAATCATGGATTCATTTCAAGAA